CGATAGTGGAAAACAGCTGTCTCAAAGGGCTGATGTGTAATGATGCAATCATTGCACAAATACATGAACGGCCTAGACTTGTCGTTCATGTTTCTTGCTCTTCGGGTTGGTATCAATGCTCCCTTTTATGTACATTCATAGCAGTGCCAAATGGCTGTGTGAACTACGAGAGCCAAGCAGATCACTGGCTACTGGAGACCACACGGGGGGCATTTTTGCTCTCATTGGTACACTCAACTTTCGCTCAAGCCATTGGCTGGCATGAGCACACGCCACAAATTAGTATTCTGAAAAATATTTTGCAAGCAGTGACATACTCTAGCAGGCAGCCGCATCTTAATTCAACAAAACACAAAGGTCATATCATTCGTGAAAAACACTCGACCCACAAAATTTGGTTGTTGAAGGGTTACTGAAGATCGCATCCTGTCCCATACGGTGTTGTTCCCAAAGAGACGTAGGAGATTTTACAGATAGGTGCACGTTATTCATTTTACTGCTGTGATGCTATTCCCCTAGCTCGATACTACTCATTTACTAGCCACAAGAGCATGGGTTCGGATCAACCTAATCTATTTGTGAGAGAGCTTCACTGTCGGTGGTCGCCAACGTGTCCATGATTTAGTAAAGGTTTGTCTTGGATGTGGACTGTAACCAAAATTCAGTCACTTTTTGTGAGGAGATGAATCAAATGGAAACGATTTGATTATTGCTTGTTTGCTAGATTACCTTAGATGAACAAGTAAGTGTAATCATTCATCCTTAGTTAATTTGCTAGACTGAAAATTCCGGCTGAAAATAACTAGTGTGAAAAGGTTGAGGACTGCATAAAGGATGCAAAAAGTATTCCTTATTCCAGAACGTGGATTTTCAATTATAAGGTATTTTCTCATAAATGGGTCCACAGAAAATGCCTCTCAGCGAATGAGTTCAGCTGATCATTTACAAGTCTCTTTATCTCCTCAGATGTATCCACAACTTCTGATTTTTCCAAGTCTTTCAAACATACCACTCGTCGTAGTTTCCAAAATCTGTTGGAATTTCTGTTCTTCGGACAATTTACAACCTCATCTGAATAAAAATGTGATCAACGGAGAAAAATTAACCTGATATGAGCATCACTGGTCTATTCGTTTTCATCTTACGTTATTCTCTAAAGTATACAAGCTGTAGGCAACCCAATTCTATCCAAAACGCTGAGTATTTTTTCTCAGAGTTTTCTGGCATTTCATACTGTTATACTAGTTACCGATGCAAATATTTTTGGTCTGCTAAACGTGAGTATCATTTTACACGTCAAAATTGAACATTCAACGAGTGGTAACTGCACCTGTTGCAAGCCGATTTTTGTCATAATGGCGACACAAAGTCAAATTGTTTTCTGGCAAAATGAACTACTTGGTGCTTTCTAGTAGGTAGAATGTTGGTTATATAGAAAAATATGTAATATACATAAGGGTAGATTAATCGCAGAGCAGCATTCATTTTACATAGGGTAGCTTCCTGAAAGGAGAAAGAATGAAAAGCTGGTTCCTTTGTGTGATAAAGGCCCAAAAAACGAGCTTGGTAATGAAGTTGTTGTAGTGCATGTTTCCATCACTGAAGCAGGGATGACCTAATTATAGTGATTCCAGCAATCTGTTGGACCACGCCCAGTCACGCTCAAAACCCCCAAAAAACAAATCTTTCAGATAGAGGTTTATCTAAAAATACGGCACTATAAGAACAATAATCAGATGATAAAACTTTACAACCCTCAAATCGTGGGACTATGCCGGCTTCTATACACCGGCTTAGCAACTGCTAATTCTTAACGGATATCAAAGTCCACACCGACTCAAAGCCGCGTGTTTACAAGCTAGCGAAACCACGAGTGAACTTAAACAACACGTCCGATGACAAAGTCAAAGAACGGTTTATGTTTAGGTCAAAAACAAGAAGGGTGGTATAGGTGCAAACCAAAATAACAAAAAAGAGGGTCAATCGAGTTGTACAATATAAAAATAGAAGAAAGGAATCAACACCAAACACCACGGGTGACATTGGCAAACCTGTCTGAGAATCTGACCACGCCTTTCTCACTCAAGAGCAGAAATATTCGAGCTTCGCTCATTCCCATCAAGCCTAGATGCCAAAAATGTTCTTTTTTGCGCTTAATTTGATTTTTCAGTAGTTTACTCAATTGCCTTAGAACATTTAGTGCAATTATTAGGTATTTACTCGAGATTATCGACCCTAACAACGAAGTCAAGCTTTTCCGTCCAAATAAGAATAAATGATTAAACACATCAGGAAGCACCCAGGATGGCATACGTTTTCTGGTCTGACGCATCACGCAAGCATACACGCTCAGAAAGCAATGGATTAAATGTTCAATTTTCTAGAAAATTCCTAGTGTTTTCGAGGAAATACCATTATCCTGAAACACACAAGAAATGTGGACAACAAAGATTAGCCGAAAACAGTCTGGATGTCCATTAAATAAGTCAGTTTGTTCAGAATCCATGGGCACAAATGTCTGATTCAGAAGGTCGAATGGAAGGTGGATGTTTCAGTGTATACTATGAAATGCGGGAGTTTCAAATATCAAACGTGATATCACGATTACGTATAGTGTGCTATTATTGCATGAATATAGAATATCGACCAGAATCTTCCATCTCGGATGAAACAGAATTGAGGACTTGTTTTTTGTAACAGAACAGTATGAACGCATGCGATGATTGAACTACTCCTCCTTGGTTGGCGATGAAACACCAGTAGGCCAGCCACAAATTTGGCAAACAGATGATCAGTCGCAGCTGAGTTTTTGATTTCATTTACCCCCATTGACATGAGCAGCTCAGCTCATGAACAGACACACGGTACAGTTTGGGTTTCAAAATATCAGGTGCAGGTTAGGTGTCCTAAATGAGTACAGGTAGCCCAAGCGAAAGGTTGATGTTTCGAGCGCCCCCCATGTCTACCTGAAGTTTCCCTTTCAAGACCTATGAATTCCTCTTCTACGTGTTTCAAAGTAAATTGGAGCATAGTTCAACTGAACCTGATGCGTTAAATACAATCTATTCAGGCCACAAATGCAACGTAAATAAGTTCTGGAAATATTTCAGTTACTGACAGTTTTCCTCAATAAAAAGGATTATTATTGGTGAAAATCTAGGCCGTTCACAAAGTAGGGTTAGTGATATTTGGTCTGAGAAATATCAACAGGCACTGAGCGTGACCAGTAAATGCAGAAACAATTCAATGCAACCAAGTGTTCCCAGGGCACGTTTTATCAATGAGGCGGACAAAAATATCAATTATTTCTTCGCAGTGAGGATGTCGCGTACAGGTTTATTAGATTTTCTTGTGTGGGTGTCTCCACTTTGTGTCGCAAGTGTCTTCCGCACTTTCAAGTGGGACATCAGTTCATTGACCAGGCAAAATTATTCCACGTCTAACCGTTTAGCAGATATGGCATGAGCCTGTCGGCGATGCTCAGTAGAAAACATTTCTGTGGAGGTTTGCTGGAAATTTTGGCTAATTGGGATGTGGGTAGCAAACTGTAGAGGGACAAAATTTTCTTTAGAGTGAGAACGTAGACCATTTTTATGTTGAAGGAATCTAACGAAGGATCTTCTCATAAAGTAACTTGTTCAGAGTAGCTCAGTTTTGATAATTAACTACTAAAGAAGTTTCATGAGTTGAAATGAGTAATACTGGCGTGTATCTCAGACACTTTGTCTGTGATAAATAATATGATGAATGATATGATACTACTTGCAGGTTATTGATTTCCTGCCAAGATGAGATTAATATACTTTCTCAGGATTTCCTGTATTTAATGATGGCAAGTAGTATTAGACTGTAGCAGAAACAGTGCATACGTGTGGCGCTAATCTAAATTGAAAGAAACGTCATTAAATTTATTTCCATTTATCAACACATTGCATCGTCAATTTGTCTCTGCTTCAGCTAAAATAGACATTAGTGAGGCCCAACAACTGTGTGTTTTTGTAACTCATTACTCAAAGGGAACCCACCAAATCGCATTTTGTCTGAATAGCAAGATTTATTGAAAGTCAGCTGATTCATTCAATTTCATTAAATTAGCAATCATTTTCATATTTCGATAAGGTTAGTGGTTCAGGAACCTTTAGTTTTAAATGGTTCCGACCCATACAGCAATCAATATTTTGGACGGTAATTCACTGCTCGTTGTCGCTGATAAGGCGGCGCGTTGGATGAAGCAATAATTGAAAAAAAGTACCGATTCATTTTGCAGCTGTAAAATTCTAAGTTACCTTGAATTAATTGTGCACATCTCAAATCTCAGGATTCATTTTATCCATTTCCCTATACAGTTAATCAACGGAGAACAGCTAAAACATTTTTCTCTCGGTTACGCTTCATTTTTAGAACAAGTGGCAGACGAAATGTGTTTGTGGACACATCTTATTTGTTTTCTTGTTCGATATCCGGAAAGTCGAAGGCACTAGGTATGCCTGTGAAAAAGTACACCCGTTGTGCCAAGTACTGATGGCGCCTTAAGTATCAATGCTGATTGAAGGAAGCCACCAGATGACATAAGAGTGCCAGACAATTATTTGATAACCAAAGGTGTGACGTCTTTTCAGACGGTGACCCATATTTAAGGCATTGCCGGTATCTGAACCAACATTCTATGCCAAAAGTTTTGGCAAAATACGGTTCCTTTCGGCAACTGATAGACTATATGTCCTGATGTTTCAATAGAAACCCATATTTGTATTTAAAACCCTATCAGGATACTTCTCAATGATATTCTATGAAAGTTCTTCCCGACAGGGAATTAGGAGCTTTCACTTGTTGGCTAACCAATGGGAAAGCGAATTTTCTAAACCAATCACCTGTGAGCGTGACGGAGTTTTAGAATTTAGCAAACAATTGTTCCCGACACGATAGTACCTGGACAGATGTACCAGCAAACTGTGCATAGAACATGGTGACTCCGTGTTCAACTGAATAATGCATGAAGAATGACTGCGAATGAGAGAAAGCAGAGTGTTCTATCAGAAAATTACCACATTCAACTATTTCTTCTTACGTCGCTACTCTCGCTTACATTAGCCGATCAATTTCACGTTGTCTCTCCAGGACCATGTCTTCATGAGGGTGATTCTTTCTGCACCAGGCGAGTAGCCAACAGCATGTGCTCACGCGAAAAAAACGAATGTTTCTGCAAACCGGGATACGTTGCGATTCAGGAAATCTTTGGACTTACATGCAAAACACGTGAGTTCTGCTGATTCTTAATCAGTTTTTGAAAAGTGACTGACCAGCATCTCGTTTGCAGCGCTTGTTCTTGTTTCGTTCAATGCGATCAATAAATAATTGAATTGAGGACGAATGAACGGCAAGAATATACCTGTTGACAACGCCAAGGACTGTGGATTACGCTCGGACGTTTGAACTGATTTCTGATAGCCATAACCTTGTAGTCGGAATGGAGTGGAATGATGGCTAGCTAGAGGAGACCGTACGAGTGTATTACGGGTTCAGTTGACATGTACTTTAGCTGAAGTTCAAAGAGAACAGGCCACCATTGGTTTCAACAGTTGGACTTTCCTCATCTCCGTCTGCAAAGCCCGACCTAGGGGCTCGTTAGCGTTAAGCCTACAATGATAGTGGAAACAAGTTCTGTAATTATTGCAGTACGAAGAAAGCTAACTTACGGCATGCAACATTTGGCCATAAATGTGTGCCTAGAATGCCTCTTTTGCGGGTGTCGTGGGCGAACTTCCGCATACGTTGTGAGCAGAACACAGGGGAGAGGTTAGTAATCCTCCATAAGAAGGCTCAAAGTTGGCTGACAAATAGCAAATCACGCTTCACTAACATCGAAGAAATATAACTTATGTGGCTTGCACTATATCTGACTACGTTGAGATATGATTTATTGTATTACATTCTATTCTATTGGTGTGTAGTTCGTGAATCATATTTTATTCTCTTAATGTAAAATTGGGTCTCCAACGGCACTTTGTAATGCTCTTGTAAAAATATCGGTGTATGGATGTAGCTGAACAGTGACTAGCACCATTTATTTGTGTGCCTAGGATACATGTTCAGAGTAGTATGAATTATTTGTTGTCTTTTCTAGTGCATTGTAAGGTACAACCACCCAACTGTAGACAGCCAAATTTGCCCTCAGAACTGCCCCACCGCCCTCTTGAATTTACCATTTGACATTTTTACTCGGGGCTCGAACTGGGTTGAGGGTTTGTGAAAAATCTCAAACCATATTGCCACTAACATCCATCATGCAAACAGAGCAGTCCGTTTTTACAAGTATACCCTGACAAAAAATGTGGGCACAAACAATGTGGTAAATGACATGAGTCCAGGAAGCTACTCTGTACATGTTTGCCATACTATGGAAGTATTAAGCCCACCGAATTTTATCCAAATCGGTTCGGGTTGTGTACAACTGCATTCACAAATACGTGTATAATATTTCAGCTGGCTAGTTGCATGCTGCGCCAACCAATACCTTCACCGTGAACTGCGTTTCTCTGTTTTATGTCCCGTTCGCGGTTTGTGATTTATTGAAAAACAACTTCGTTCCTCTGTGGGAAACTATATAAAATATTGAGAGTGGTACAGATATGTTGCTTGTCCAAACGCAGGCAACCAGTGTTCCTGTTGACTGATCAATGAGAACAAGTTAGGAGGAATTTAAAAGGGACCTATTCGATTTTCTGTTGTAGATCTCATTTGGAGGGAGGAAGCTGCGTGTACAGGCAGTCCTCATTAGGAAACTCCTTTCATTCAGCGACGAATTGTCTGAGTAAGAAATACGAAGCATCAAGTTGCTTAGTAACTAAGTATTTCAAATCCACGTGTGAACCAAGCGTAGGTTATTGACACACAAGCACATGTATACCCGTAACATTGTTGATTTTGTGAACAGATTTGCAACTTTGCACTTTTGTGTGTGCAGCTGTGCACTGTGTGTGTGCAGCACAAGTCAATCTGACTAACAAAGGCGTAAAAGACTAGGTGTGAACAGAATATGCTATGTGAGCAGGCAACTATTACAAATTGGTAAGCGGATAATACCCGAGGGTCTTTACGCATCATGATGTCACGAGTACTCTACTTATAGCTCCTTCTGGCGGATTGCATAAGGCAGCCACTTTGAACAAAACTTTCGGGAAACCCCTGCAATTTGGCGAATTCTAGTTTTAGGACCACCTTTTGTGGATATCAGTCGTCGTTCGTTCACAATTTTACGGGAGCAGATGGCACTTAATTCAGTTGAAAATCTGAGACCTATGTGACCTTTATTGACGCTTTCTTCGGAATGGGTGGGTTGCAGAATTGCACTGTGATACTCGATAAAAAAAACAAGCATAACCCACGTGATTCAAGGACATGTTATACCACAAAACTTAAATCGGTAGATGAAATCAGTCGCGGTGAATAAGGTGGCCGAATTTATAAATTTTAATCGCCTTTGAAAATCAAATTGACCTCGTGATGAAATCAAAGAACTGGAAGCTATCTGAAGGTTTGTATAAAGCAATAGAACAGAAATCGTTGCTCTTATTCCATAAGGGACTATCTTACTTGACAGTTTTAACACACTCTACCTGTCATTATACTTTCGATACTATATTGGTATGCATGAGAGGAAATCGTGCAGATATATGAATGTTGTATATGATGGAAAAGTGTTCATTCGTCAGTCACACGCTCTGAGTAATCCCACTTTAATACTGTGCACAATTTAGTAATTTATCCGGGCAGGTGTAGGACTGCGAGTGCAGAGAAAAACCCCATCGTGTCTGACTTTCATCAAGGACATGGTGACCTGTCACGTGACCACAAAAATGGGTTTCTAATTTTGAACATTCGAAAGGTCTTCTTCGTGTACACGAAAAAGATATCCAAAGTCGGCTTGAGTGTCTGCGTGTGAAATGAGATTGTCATTGGTTTGGACAGCTGAAGTACAGTTCGCACCAACTTACAAGACACTCATTACAAATCAACGACAATTTGTTGCTTTGCGATAAGGACAATCGTTCAGCTGCAACACCCCTTTCGATGCCTAGCTGTCATGCCACGAAGGATGGGATACTGCCAGGTTGCCCAAGCCTAGACAGGGGAAGTCAACAGGCAGAGGTCGAATTCGAACCACTGACCTTCCGGTCAATAAATTCGCTCTCTAAACGATTGGGGCATCTCACCCCGAGTGATAAGGAGATTTGATACTGTAATATTTTCATATCGATGAACATGCTGAAAATTGATTTCTACTGATACCATACCTACGGAAATTGTTTGCATACTTTTTTTGAGATCCCTAAAGGCGTAAGAGGATCAGCAATTCAAAATGTAAACATATGCTAATATGCCTGACGCCAGTAATGTCAGGCCTTGTCGCAAAAAACAGTTGCCTACCCGAGCATTGTGGTGATTGAAGTAAATCTATGGGCGATCGAAAAGGGGATTTTTAGTGACTCAATACAGCAGAAGTCGAATAGAGTCCCTGGATGCATATCAGCGACCTTGAAGTCAAGAATCCTATACATCACGACCTTCCAGTTATGAGCCGATTAGGAGTAACCGGCCCATACAATGGGGAAAATTTCGAAAGCGGTTAGGCGGCTCCATTTGACTTTGAAACATGCCATCAAAATAGCTAATAAAATTGACTTCCAGGGCACCTCTGCAAGTGGTTAGAATAGAGGTGAGCCTTCGTGGAACATTTTCTGAAAGAACTCGAATGAACAATGGATTTGTTATTCTGTGTTAACAGTCAAAGAATGATAGAAATGTTTGTGCTCCACTAGAGAATATTTTTCCAGACCAATAAATTGCAGTAAGTTCATGCAGTAATGCGGGCATTAGTTAATGTTGACCCTTAAAAGGAAACTGCTCACGAGTTTGCTCAAAACTCTTTGGCAGCAAATAACTGGTTTCGCCCTTCTTGGGTTTCATTAGGTAGGTGCGATCCCCGAGTTATGATCTACTTGAACCCAAATTGGACTGTTCTCAAGAAGTACACTCATTTGCGAATCAGTTTGGTTTTCACGAGAGACTCAACTGAATCTCTCGCTTATGATATTCCACGATTGAATGTGCTGCACACATGTCGCCTCGTGTTTTAGTTGGCACGATATTCGAGATACTGCAGTATATTTTCACTAAGTAAACTACTCGCAAGGTTGGTGAAAACTCTTCGACAGCCCATGAGTGCTTTTGCCCTCCTTGAGACTCACCAGGTAGGTACAGTTCCAGAGTTCCCGTTAAACTTATGTTCGCTAATATGTATCTCAACTGCCGTACCAACTGAAACATGACATGGCCTTTGTGCAGCAAATTTACTTAAAGAATATCATAAATGAGAGATTCACTTGAATCCATCGTGAAAGCCAAAAATGACCTGCAAATGAGTGCATTCATCGCAGCTGATTCCTCAGTTTCTCGGCTTATCGTTGCTGTGCCTCACTAAATTTTCAGAGCGTCAGTACAGTCTAAATCGTTTATATTAACTGTTGATATCTAAACAGTTCCAAAACTGCCAAAGTTGGTTCACCACAAATGCACAAACCGAACCGCAGTTTGGAAGTATTTTGCCATCAGCCACTTCATTGAGTTATTTGACATGTGACGGCAGGTTGAAATGAATTTGGTTTTAAATGCTTGATTTCATGCAAATTTATTTCAAAAGCCACGTGAATGGATTTTCAGCTTCCAACGGAAATGAATCGATAAAAGTAGCCTCAGAGAAACTGTTGACGGGATAGTCGATTGAGAACGAAATTTGAATTGTTTAATGACGCAGTTAGCGCACGACGGTCGACAGATACTGTGACCAACTTTCCACATCCTAGATCATTTCAAACTTTTGGTTATTGTCCTTAAACAAAGCGGTGTTTAGACATAATCATGATTTCGTTTAACTGGACAATCCGTTGACACGGCGCAATCACGATTGTGTTGAATGTATTTGAGCAGAGAAATAATATTTGCTTTAGAACCATTTGCAACACTATGGGAATTATTGATTTTTCTCCCACCAGTATTGTTTTTTCTCTCTCTTGATCATAGCTATTACGAGGTGTCTAGGATGATAACTCACACTTATAAGGTTTTAAGTCTCAAGAACTTCACGCAATATTTTGTTCTATTCATCTTTCCGGCAGTACTTTCCAACCTGAAATGTCAAGTGGACAATGACTGCGTGCATGTGACCAACAGCGTATGTCATCCGGGAGCAGGCTACTGCGCGTGCCCAAGCGGGACAATCTACGTACCTCAGCAACATTCATGCTGTGAGTTCACCGGCCCATTTTTTCAGGTTATTAGAAGTAATCAAAGCTGTCCTTGGCCTAATTCTAGGCCACACGCACTAATTTCTTCGACGTTATGGCACCAAAAAACCATGATATGTTTCACGTATTGGAAACAAAACACATCTATTTGCACGATGGTATTGCAGTATGTGTGGAAAACGGTTCCCGTCAGACACGGACGAGCGAAAATTCTCAACCACGGACACACACCTCACCGACTGCTCTATAGTAACGTCAAAGTTATTTTGTTTCAGCCTTTCATGAAACAAAATTACATTTAGCGAAATACGCTCATTTGCAAACTAATTTGTTTCTTTCGAGAGACTCACTTGGAACCCAGCTGAATCTCTCGTTTATGATGTTTTCAGGCAACTGAATGTGGTGCACCAGGCCGCCTCATGTTTCAGTCGCTACGATATTCGGGATATCGCGATACATATATATTTTCTAGAAACTACTCACAAGGTTACTGATAACACTTCGACCGGTTTCGCTCTTCTCAGGGCTCCATCAGGTAGCGCAGTCCCCGAGTGTCTATTAACCTGAGGTTCTACTTGAAACCGAATTGCACAAACTTGGCGAAATACCCTCATTTGCGATATCGTAGCGCCTGAAACATGAGGCGGCATGGTGCAGCAAATTCAGCTGCCTGGAAATATCAAAACCAAGAGATTCAGTTGGGTTCCAGGTGAGTCTCTCGAAAAACTAAATTAGTTTGCAAATGAATGTATATTCGATAGTTTTGTGCAATTTGTTTCAAGTAGAACACAAGGTTGAGGGAAACTCGGGAACTGTGCTTGCCTCAAGAAGGCCAAAACCGGTCTGATGACACTTATGTTTGAGGAACAGGGTGCTGTTCTACCCATAAAATAACCTATACTACTAATATGAAAAGTAGTATTATAGAGAACAGTCTTCCCCACATCCCAGTCACTCAGCTGATTTCGGTCAGTCAAGCCTTCTTGATGATGGCATTAAAGAGGCTATGCCAGGTGTACTGAGTCAACCAGACATGAATGAAGCGTCTGCTACGCTACCAAAGTTCAGCTCACTGCTCTACCAATTATGCCGACTCAAACTGAATATATTATTGAAAAAATGCATTATCCCAGCAACTCCATATGACCAAATTTGGCGAACTAGGTTAGCATGACTTCGAACATGTTGACCGGTCAAACTACTTTTATATTTTAACTGTCTCTAAGGATATTTTCAATTCTTCTTGAGATGTAACTAAGTGAGTCAAGGTTGCCCACATTGAGCTGCCGGAATACAATAAATGTTTCATTTATAGGATAGCGCATAACGCATGAGGCATTTACCGAAGTTTAAAACTTTCCATGTGAAATTTTTTTTACGTTCCTATGATTGATTAAATTGAGACAGGAAGAATGCACTGCACTGGGTAATTTTTTTCCTTTTGTTCCATCAGTATTACTGAGAGCTGCAAGGAAGTTGTTCGATTCCTAATGCAAGCAAAGTCCATCTTTTTTCCAGAGAAATAACCCTAAAACTGGACCAAGAGCGTAGTGGGTCCGTGTCGTTTTTGTTTGGTTTGAACTAAACATCTGACTAACCACACGATAGAAACACGTTTATTTTTCGGTTCCTCGAGCCCAAAAACCATGGTTTTTTCATTTTGATTTATCAGCCACAATAGTCGATGGAACATCATTTTATATCACCTAACGAGACGTTTCTATTCAGACATCGTTGCAAGCAGATGACCTATCTGGAGTTACTCTTGTTCGTAAAATGAAAAACTCTACTGTATCCGAAGGTCTAGGACGTTTCGAAGTGTAGAAATGTCTCATAGTAACGAGAATACCCATAAATAGGCATCTGTGGCTGATTTCTTTAAATTTCATCATGCGACTAGGTACATTTTTGCAGTATCGTCCTAAACCTTATCACCCACGGCCGATATCTTTAAGTGGCCTGACTGTATAAAAATGGTCAGCCCTAATCCGGTGTGCTCAAACTTCTTGAGCGATTAACGCTGCACAAGGCCTGATCAGTCGCTACCAGACTACTGAGAAGTAAGGGAAAAATTCAAAGCGATTACACTGGACATCTACAGACCAACCGATATCTCAAATGTCGTAGCGACTGAAACATGAGGCGGCATGGTGCAGCACATTCAGCTGTCTGGAAACATCAAAACCGAGAGATTCAGCTGGGTTCCAGGTGAGTCTCTCGAAAAAGCCAAATTAGTATCAAATGGGTGTAAATTCGCTAATATCAAACTCTATTTTTTCATCTGGCTGCTATTTTCGCAACCTGAGTCTTAAATCCTACACACAGTTTTTGTTTGTCATTAATTTACTAATGCAGGTGCTATTTTACACTACCAGTAGATGTAGTGTTCCAACGAACTCCATTTTCTCTCTCCATCAATGTTCCGCTTGCTCTCCAAGTGAAACATCTGATAGAACATCTGGTCTGCTGTATACAACAAAGCTTTTGTACCGCTGAGAGCGAATGATAATGAGCTCAATGAATTGAACGTTCGGCTTGATTATGATTTATAGTTTAGTCATTTTTGAGATGACGCTTTACAATGTCCGGTTTATTCCGCTACTCTAAACTAGAAAACCAAGGTTGCATGAACTAACAGCAACCCAGTCTGACGGTCTATATTGTGTTCCAAACCTGACACTGGGTTACCAGCAAATGCATACTGTGCATTTAAACGGTGGCAATCACAAACACTAAGATAAGCAAATCAATTCACAAATACACTTTCTTCCAACCACCTGAAGACAACTAACATCGACTGATCACGTAAAATCGATATCCCGCTTCTATCTTAAAATTGAACAGCACCCTACTTGATCTCTACTTGTTAAAAGAGGAGGACCATTGTCGCGTGGTTGTTTATTAGAAAACAGCAGCTGAACAGTTACAGACCATTGGAGAGGGAAGCTGAACTCTCATATGCATCTTGTTTACAAAAAGTAAATATCCAGCCTCTGCTTTAAGGCTCTTCCTGGAATTTAATAGATATTCATTGACTGTTACTCAAATTTAAGTAGATGCTACAAGCTGACTCCACAAATTCCGCAATAGATCTTACTTTTCAAAAGAGGCGGAGCGAATTTACGAGAAAACATACTACTAGCATGCCTCATCAGTAGTATCCAGCGTTACACTAGTATATTTTTCTGTCTATGTTTCACTTAGAACGTTGTTGTTTCCGCTAAGTCCGCATTTTGATTTAAGGAATATCACACGCTATCAGAAACAAATGATTTGCGCATCAACATCTTCTTGTATGTGCGACTCAAAACTGCGGTTAAAAATATACTCGGGGAGTGAATTCGTTTAGTTGTTGATCAAGCTGGAAATTGGGGTAACTCGCAATGCTTTGTTAACAAAACGTAATATATGGGCCAGAATTAACAAGGTTTTGACAAGTTGAGCAGCAAATCTGCTTCCAAGAGAAAGGAAGTCTTTGAATCGCTGAAATGACGGAGTGTTGGATCCGTACTGCGGAAGCGAATGATCAAATATCATACAACTGATATGCCCTAATGCCACAAGTTTTTGATACGAAGTTGAATGCAGCCATTCACAGAATGCTCAGAAATGTCTCCAATCTCAAGCTGAAAAGAATTTAAAACCAATTATTATCAAAGGCACATATCTATATTCAGTCGCTTGGAACTTTCCCGCATCTTTGAATTTGACTACTCAGACAGGAGGCCCTAGGGATTTGCGCAATTTGGAACCTCCAGAGCGGTCGGTTTGCAAAAATGTAAAGAAATTAACAGTTCTTTCTGGATTTCATCATGCAAGTAAATTCAGAAAGCACTGCCGAGACGTGTGGTAATTGATTGGATCCACGAGCAGTATCAAGATGCTTGAACTTGCGGTCTCCGAACAAGAAGTTGGACACTACGGCATTCTGCCATGTATGACTGATGAACTGAGGAGTGTTCCAAATATTGGCGGTGTTTTAGGCCTTCTTACCTTTACTAAACGGTAACTCAATCAAAAATGAAGATGACCCTTTTCTCTAGCAAAACGTGCACCCGAAAATGATGTGAGACTCACCCTTACCTTCATAACACGTCGTTTTATACTACGGAATTTGTTCAACTTGACATGCGAAAAAAAATCAGATAACATCCATTTTTACCAGAGCATGCGTAAAGCATTGCCCCCAGTCTACGAAAACCTGACGAATATCAAACTTTCATCGATGGCACACTCCCAGCGATGAAAATCGTTTCAGTTTATTAGACTATAATTTCCTGTTAATCACCTGAAAGTATACGCATAATTGATCAGAGACCCACGGTCTTCATATTTATCCGATTGTGCTCGCAATATTGTGTTACCTTTCTCAAAATATTCGCAAAACCCAGCATTGCAATTTGGACGGGAGCATACTGGAAGATGTGAGCCGAAAATACGGATACGTGTGAACTCAGGAAGACATTTCTTTGTGAACAATGAGTTTTGGGACTTAACTCAAAAAATAACCGGATAAAAAATATTCTGAGTGAAACGGTCGTGTTCCTGTTCTGGTGTAACTATTCCGGTGAATCCACACCAGAAAGGAGCACTGCACTCAAGTTTCCCTCTTCTAAGAACTCATCAATTTCGGTGCCGGGATTTGAACCCCAGACATCTGACATCTGCGAGGCGAGCATGTCACCACCAGCGCACGTTGGACGCATTTGAATTTTGACGTGTGAACGGGCGAACGTGTTCACACTCGAGCGATGTGATTGATCGATCGTCACAATCAGGACAGTTGTGACTCGAACAACAGTCGTCGTTCGATGAGTCGGGCACACCATAAGAGCGAAACTCGAGTCCAGTGCTTCCCTTTGGTGTGGACTCACCGGAATAATTACGCCAGAACAGGAGGACAACCGTTCAAACGAGAGCGATGTGACCATGAACCAAAGACCCATCCTGCAAAACCCCAAAATTGTAACCTCGGATTGCTGAAATTAAGAAAAATTTTCACATTTTGGCTGCATATCAATTCGATAGCTTACTTACTGACTGTCGTAGCATGTTATCAGACAGATTAACTGATTGATTAGGTGCCGTGATCTGTCATGAACAAGACATTCCTTAATGGCGCCGCAAACTGTTAACAGGCAGGATCGTTCAACACCACAAAGATGGTAACCTTAGTAAAGTCTAGCCAGCAAGCTAGGATTACCCAAGTAGTCTGTTCATGAATGGTTCTAGTTACTAAAGATTCTATATGACCTACTTCAATGTTGGATATCTGACGACCCCAGACGATAGTCCTATAAGCTTGATAAAGCTAGCTTCAGATTGCTAAAATCTATAGAAATGGTAACAGCATTCAACTCTGCATTGTATTCGCCTATCAAGGGTTTTCCTCTTGACGCAGCGTGAACGACGCTGAACCCGCAATCCATCCCTTGGCTGACTGAAAACCGTACGGAGTTGTTAAGTACTCATGTCACTGAGAATCAACCTCATAACCTTCTGAGTGTGATCCCTGGAAAATATAACTTGTTTTGTGGATCCCATAATTTAGAACCTGTTTCTATTTT